CACATCTGTATCACATCTACACCACATCTGTATCACATCTGTATCTGTACTAGTTATTTAAGAACAATTCTCACTAAACACAAAACAGCCTCCACTAAGTTACACACTGAGAGAAAACAACCTGCTGTGTCAACACTGCTAATGACAACAATAAGTCACTTAACACGTGTGTTTACTAAGTTAAACATCTGTCAGCATTATAAAGTAAAGTTATGGAACTGCTCYGAAATACTTTATATATTTTCCCCCATGCACAAGCGATGAAAACTTAACACAGGCTGAAAGTAGCAAGTTATCATTATTGCTGATGTTAATAAACACAAAACCTGTTCAAGATTCAAGGTTCAAGGGTTTCTTGTTATATGCACAACTATTACATTTGGGAATGTATCTTTATCATAGATCTTTATATACACTTTACACTTTTGATTCCAACCAGCAGGGGCGGTAAACCTACGCCCTCTGACGTCAAACGGTTTGGCTAAGAAGACGCGGTGACGTAACTTCCGTCAGAGATTCAACATGGAGTCCGGTCTGAAGCTGAGTTTCTGGGAGCACGGACCAAAGCCTGGACAGTTTTACTCTTTCCCGGACAGCAGCAGCAGCAGCGGGCCGGTTCCAGCATGTGGGCCGGTCAGACACACACTGTGAGTCCGCTCCGTCTCTAACAACCTCCGCCCTTTCACCCGGAGCTCCGCTGTCGCTTTCGGTTTGAGCTCCGCCGCTCTGCTGTATCATYGTGGAGCTAACAGATGCTAACAGATGCTAAGCTAGCTGACGGTTTAGAGCAGGTTGAAAGTTTTTAATGATCAGAACTAACACAAACTAGTCATTTCATCGTTTAATCAATAGTTGATATCGATCACAATGATTTTCAATCTGTACACCGTGCAGTCTGTTAGCTGTTAGCTTCTAGCTTCTGTTACTGCAGCTCATAGTGATTCAAACTTTATCTGCAAATAAATCTAACATACATGAAAGATAATGTATTACATCGAACATGTTTGAATGATACATATGAAATCAGATATACATGAAATCTAACATATATGTGAAAGCATATAAAACTATTTTTGAGATTGAGTTTGTTGTCTATAAAACCCAGAATATTTCTCATGAACAAGTCTCTCCGCAGTAATCCAATGGTGACCGGGACGTCGGTGCTCGGCGTGAAGTTCACCGGTGGCGTCATGATTGCGGCAGACATGTTGGGCTCCTATGGTTCTCTGGCCCGATTCAGGAACATCTCCCGCCTCATGAAGGTGACACTTGCTGCTGAATCGAATCAGCTTTAGATGTGAATCTGATAGTTGTGTCCGAACAGAGGTGAACAGCAGTTTGTGTTTCAGGTGAACAACAACACGATCCTGGGAGCTTCAGGAGACTATGCTGACTACCAGTACCTCAAACAGATCATCGAACAGATGGTGTAAGCTGCCGACAGTGTCCGCTCTTTAGTGTCCACGTTTAGTTTCCCGATGTCAGCATGTCCAACTGTGCACCCACAGGTCTCATGTCCAGAGTCCTGTGGTGTGTACATGTGCTGAATGTGGAAAAGGGACACTTTTCCTCATGTTGGGTTCACATTTCAACTTATGCCAACAATTTGCGACTGGCACCCAACAGTTCCTTTTTCCGGTACTTTACTCTTTCTGTATAACCAAAAATAATCAGATCAGGTTTTTCAAGAATTGCAAAGATTAGGATAGAATTATTCAATTATTGTTAAACTATCATAATAAGACACAATCTAAAGCTGAAGTTCCCCATCATAAGATGTCATGATTAGTGATGTCATGATGATGTCATACATAGTTTAAAAGTCGCTGCATCCATTGGGACTTAATTATATTTTGATGGGAATTATGTCACTATAAAAATGACATATAATAATATATCAATCATTTATCATCACATGACCTAATGACAACATTACAATACAATTAAAATAAACATGTTGACATTGTAAAAATTTCAAACACAAATGATTTAGTCTCTGAATTACACGTGTCTGTTGTTTCTCTGAGAGACAGAAAACTCGGGCCCTCAGCTCGAGGGCCTGTGTTCACATTAATTGATGTTAAATGTCAGAAACTCTGTGCTTGGTTGTTGTGTGTAACAGGATCGACGAGGAGCTGCTGGGCGATGGTCACAGTTACAGTCCAAAGGCGGTTCACTCGTGGTTGACCAGAGTCATGTACAACCGCCGCAGCAGAATGAATCCTCTTTGGAACACTGTGGTCATTGGAGGTTTCTACAACGGAGAGAGGTGGCGACAGACTGGGGCTGTTAGTTTGTTCTCAGGAAACTAAAGAGTATGATAATTAACCTGTCGGCCATCTTTGTTCTCTCTAGTTTCCTAGGTTACGTGGACAAGCTGGGCGTGGCCTATGAGGCTCCCACAGTGGCCACAGGCTTCGGAGCGTACCTAGCTCAGGTAAGAGAGAGAAACTGATGTGAAGTGACTTCACCTCAACATCTGCAGTGCTCCTGATTTTTGTGTGTGTGTGTGTGTGTGTGTGTGTGTG